CTAAAGGCTACTACAGTACAAGGTTCACAGTTGGTGCTGCACAAGCCCCATCTCACAAGTGCTGTGAGAAGAGTGAACCATTCTCTCTCCCAGATGTGGTGTAACTCTTGCCATCATGAGAATAATACTACAAATCAGTTTGATAAGGATTTCACAAGCATCCCGTTAGATGAGGAGTGAAATGGAAGATTTCATAGCCGAGAAAGAGAAGGACATATCTGTCTAATCCTTAAATCCACTGCCATAGAAAAACATCCAGGACGAGTTCCTGTCAAACAGATAATATGATTTGCCTTTTACACTTCACACATCTGTACTGTCTGGATTGTTTGGGGTGGAGCATTCTTTTATTACTTACTTAATAACATCATTTTGTTGTTTTAAGTGAATTATTCTTTTAGGTAGTGGATTGGAGGTCACTGAAACCAAAGATCAGAAGTCTGGATTAAGAAAGTTTTTTTTTTCTCAGAGAAAAACCAATCTTTGACATCTTTTCTTGATCTTTGTTCCATATTCTATCTCTGTGTGCGATTATATGTCAGTCATGACTTACCCTAATCACCATGAACTTAGCAAACTGCAGGAATAATGATGAGTCATTATGACTGGCAGAGAAATCCTGTTTGATGTGGCATAGTCAGCTCTTGTCCTGATCTTTCATTTCATATCAAATGGAACATTCTGTGTTCCCGGCACTTTAGTTCTAGCATTCTCACTTTCTTTGCAAAGACTTTCCACAGCCACAGTTTTATTGGCTCTTTCAAGAACCAAAAAGCAGAACGTTTTTCTCATCTTTGACTTCCTGATGTACCTGAAACATGCTTTGTTCACAACAGGAGCTCAATAAGTATATTTAATGTTGAAAAGAACATGAGAGAGCTAGGCATGGTGGTGCATGCCTATAATACTATCACATGGGAGGCTGAGGCAGGAGGACTGCCACAAGTTGGAGACCAGCCTGGGCTACATAGTGAGTTCAAGGCCAGACTGAACTACATAGTGAGACCCTATGTCAAAAAACAAAAAATAGGGTCAGGGATTTAGCTCAGCAGCATAGCACCGGGCTGGCAGGTGTGAGGTCCTGAGTTCAATCCCCAGTACGAAAACAAAAAACAACAAATACTCATAAGATATGGAGGAGGAAGAAAGAAGGAAAACAAAGTGTTTGAGGGCCTTGCTACTTGCCCATACTATGTATGCCATGTCTCACTGATCTTCACAACAATCCTGTTTAGTAGTGTAGTGAGTTTCTGTGCATGTTTCCCTGAAATCCACTCTACACATGCCAGATAAGATTTGGTGATTCTCACCCCCCAGGAGGGGAATATTCCTCTCCTCACCTGGAAGAAATATGGACTTGATAAGTTTGCTCAAAGAAAACATGGTGGCACAGGCTTGGCTGGTCCCCCCAGGTCAGGTCTGCATTCTACACAGAAATCACGCTATCCAGAAACCCAAGCCAGAGTGGCTTACAAAGCACTTTTATTTCTCTCTAGGGAACAAGGAGCCTAAAGTAAAGAAGGCCAGGGCTAGCACACCAGATGCCTCTTCTTTGCCTCCACTTTTCTAGTGAGTGGCTTTCTTCCCCATGGTCACAAGAAGTCTGTTGCACCTCTCCCCCCATGTAGCACCTCCACATTCCAGGCAGGAAGAAAAACAAAGATGTATGTCTCGTGGATTTGTCCCTTTTCATTTTAATCAGGAAAACAGTAATGTTCCTAAAATCTGTACTCTACCCATTAGATTATTATGTCTTACTGGTCAGAACTATGTCACAATAATAATAAAGAAGGCTAGACCACAAAGTTCTTTAACTGGGAACATTGTCACTTTGAACAAAAGTGGGGTGTGTATGTAGTGCAGACAGAACAGATGATGGAGAATGGCTGTGCACACATGGTATAGCAAGTATGAGATTGTTAAGTCCTTATAGCTGTTCTCTTCCATTAATGATACATGCTTACTGCTTCAATAGCACTGCAGTATTTCTGTTAGAGACCAGAGGAAGCCCCAACTCTATGCACCCCAGATGGGTAAAGCCATGCTGCACCTGGATGTTAGCATTTGGGCCAAATATCAGAAGAAGAGAAAGGCCTATTGTCTGTCTTCTGTCCATGGACCTGGACCATGGCAGAATCTTTCTTTTCCCTGCTAAGAAGATGAGTGAGAGGTTTCGTGGATTCTTCCATGTTGTATTGATTTTCAACCTCGGAGTAGAGGGGTGAGTTCTTCACACTCATCAGTTTGTAGCACATCCCAAACTCATTCTTTTTTTTTTTTTTTGGTACTGGGGATCAAACTTGGGAACTTGCACTTGTGAGGCAGGCAGTGGAACTACTGAGCTAAATCCCTGGCCCCCAACCCCATTCTTTACCCTTCTCTTCTTACTATAAGCAACCAATGTCATTTGTTTAATGTGTGTGTGTGTGTGTGTGTGTGTGTGTGTGGTTTTTTTACATGATCTCAGAGCATGTACTGTGTCCATATACTTTAAAGTTATAGAAATGATATTGTTACACACTTCATTCTGTTTCTTATTTTTCTACTGCAGCATTGTATTTTTAGGATCCTTCTGAGTGGCTTTATATGTATCCAGCTTCTTCTGATTCCTGTATTATACACCAAAGTGTTCATCTAATGTGTTTTATCCATTCATTCACTTACAGGCTGAACTCTGCCACCACCAGCACCAGCACCACCATACACACACACACACACACACACACACATACATACACACTTATACACACAAATCCATATGTTACACTCCCAATCCCTGGTACCTCAGAATGTAACTACATTTAAAGACAGGGTTTTTAGGGGCAGGGATTTCGCTCAATGGTGCCACTGGGTGCCTTGCAAGGTCGTGAATAGGTGTTAATCCATGTGATTGTATTTGAAAAAGAGCCTTGAAAGAGGAGATTAAGTTAAACTGAGGGCTTTAGGTGGGACTGTGATCCAGTATGATTGTTGTCCTCATAGGAAGATACCAGTGAACCATGGAAGCATGGCAACCCTCTAATTACAGCTACTCATGAGGCTGAGGCAGGAAGATGGGAAGTTTGAGAACAGCATGGCAACTCAGTGAGACCCTGCATCAAAAAAAAAAATTTTTTTTAAGGAGCTGGGATTTAGCTTGGCAGATCACTTGCCTAGTATGTACAAGGCTTTGGTTTCAATTCAAGAAGAAAGAGGAAGAGGAAGAGGAGAAGAAGAATCCAGAGAAGGAGAAGCAAGAAGAAGAGAAGGGGCCAGGGATTCAGCTCAGTGGTTCCGCCACCTGCCTCACAAGTACAAGGGCCTGAGTTCGATCCCCAGTACCAAAAAAAAAAAGAAGAAGAGGAGAAGGAAGGAGAAGGAAAGGGTGGAAAGGAGAACAAAAGGAATAAGGAGGAGCAGGAAAGAAAAGAAAAAGGAGAAGAGGACGAAGAAGAAAATAAAAGGAGGAAGAGAAAGAAGAGGACAGGAAGAGGAAGAGAAGGAAGAAGAGAATAAGGAAAAGGGGAGGTGGGGAGAAGAAAGACTCTAAGGAGAGCACTCACAGAGAAAAAGCCATGTGAGGACACAGGGAGAAGGTGGCCATCAACAAAGCGCGGAGTGAGTCCTCAGGAGAAACCAAAGCTACATATCCATCAGTGCTGGCGAACCTTGTAGAGACGAGTGCCCAAACTGCAACCCCACACCCGCTTATTATCACAAAGTGCCAACACTGCACTTAAACCTGAGTACTGAGGTTTGAGTTTAGAAGAAACAGTTCATACATTAAAATCCTTTGTCATAAAAGGAAAACAAATGACATGTGTGCTATAAGTTCCCCACCAGTGATACAGATCTTCAACTTCCTGCCCCCACAACTTTGAGAAAGTGAATTTCAGTTGTTTAAACCACTCAGCCTACAGTATTTTGTTGTAGCCCTAGCACCAAAACTAGTACATTCTCTCAGAGACACTTAGATTTCTTTCAGTTCCTTTGTTGAAAAGCTTTTGCCATTTACAAATAATTTTTGGTGGGAAACTGACAAACCTGTGCAACTACCATCCAATTACTACTTCACATTGTCTCCTGTAGAAAACTTTAACACCTTGTTGATTGAAAGCCTGGCAGGGAGAAAAGAGGAATCCTACACCCAAGGATACATGATTGATTTAGGTGACCCAGGGCAGTAAGTAATTTGCACTCATTGGAGAGAGGGTAACAGAGGGGAGTAAGGGGGAGTTTCAAAGTCGTTTAAACATCTTTGCATTGTTTCCCTATTTACATTGCATGACTGAGGGGAGCCTGGGCTCAGGTTGGGCAGTTACAGTAGAAGACAGTGCGGCTGGACAGGTTAAAAGACTTCTAGCATGCATTGAGAATTGACCATGAGCCTGTACTGATCTAAGGACTTGATATTGAATGCTTTTAATTTAAAAATGATATTTAATCCCCATCTAGGAGCTCGAGATGAATCCAGGGCCTCCCCCAGGCCTAGGCATGTGATATTCATCTTGACTCTGGGGGTAAGCACTGGTGTTCTCTATTCTTGTAGTTGGGCTGAGACAAGTTAAGGAAGCTGCACCAATCAGAGCACTCTGGGAACCAGCTACTTTCCCTTGTGCCCCACTGCAGCCTAGATCCGTATCTGGCAGCTGCCTGCTCAGGTGGTGACAAAGCACTTGATTTCGCAGGGGTGTGGTGCATGGGGCCTGCAGAAGGAAAAACCCTCGCTCATCCAGGAAAGAATCAGGAAAATATCTTTTTCGTGAGTAGATTTACAACAGGCAGACTTCTGACAGGCAGGTAGGGGGTCGCACCAGGGGATCACTCGGCTGCTTGGGCCACCTGACCATGGACTCTTTCAGCCCCCGCTTCGCAGGCACGGCTGTTCTTCCACGGGGGATCTTTCCACTGGGTTCCCAAAGAGGGCGCTGCAGCCGCAGGCCCCGAGTCACCCACGCGGGGCTCCAGAGCGGGCTTCCCTACTGCGCGCACACTCAGGAGAACACACAAACACCTACCTCAGACCTCCTTCCCTTCCAGGCTCCCCGGGAGTCTGAAGTCCAGCAGTAGCTCCGCCCTGGAAAAGCCCCACCCTCCCTCACAACAGCCAAAAGGCTCAGCCCGCAGCGCTCCGCGGTGCAGTCGAGCACAGCAGTTTCTCTGGCAAGCGGAACCCGCGGACTCCCGTAAGTCGACGCCCTACTTTTCCTTTTCTCCCGCTCCTCCTTCCCGCCTCCTGTCTTCTCCTTTGCTGCTGAGCTTCTGGATGCCGCCGCGGTGGAGGAGCGTTCGCGCCAGCGGGGCTCTCCTCGCGCTGAACAGTCTCCGAGCCTTGCGCTGCGCGAAACTTGAGATCCGGAGGTACCGACCCTGCTGGTTGTTTGAAGATCCGGGCCGGATTTGGAAGGGCAGGGCAGGGGAGGGCTGCTTTTCTGATGCACCCCCTTAGCTCCTTGCACCCGGGGAGGGGCTGAGCAAGGAATTTCGCGACTGCACAACTCGGGCAAGTATGCTGGAAAAGGAAGTTGGGGTGGGGATCCGGGCATGGGCGCGGTGGGCGCAGCCCCAGACCCCCTTCCTCAGAGCGGCGGGACCTCCTTGCACTGCGCAGGCCTCCGCGGAAAACCCAGAGGGGGCGTCTGGTCTTGTGGCAGGTTGAATTAAGGGCAGTTGCATTGGAAAGAGAGCGACAAGAATACTACGGAATCTTAAAAAAAAAAAAAAAAAAAGGACTCTGGAAGTAGAGAGTAGAATGATGGATACTTGCGGCTGGGAAGAGTTGTCCAGGGGCTGAGAATTGTTGCTCAAAGGGTCACAAAGGGAGCCTGGGATTTAGTTTAGTGGTTCAACCACCTGCCTCCCAAGCGCAAGGTCCCGAGTCCGATCCCTGGTACCACAAAACAAACAAAAAAACTTCTGTCCCCAGTAATGATGTATATTCCAAAATACTTGCAATTTCAAATGTTTCACCATAAACGTTGATACTTAAATAAGGACAAAGGTAAGTTATTAGCTTGATTCAGTCACTCTACCTCGTGCATTATATCAAAACATCACATTGTACCCCCTGAACATACGGAACTATCAATTTAAAATGCATTTTAAGACAGAAAAGGACAAGGAAGAAGGAAGTAACTCTCCACGTGCAATGTGGAGGTGTTCCTTTCAGGCCAGAGTGTCCCTGCTCCCAGGTACTGGACCGAGTAAAATCGCCAGCTCTGTGGGCTCCTCTGTAGTATTCATGGTTGGAGGGCGTGGTTTCCTGCCTGGTAGTTCCATATCAAAAGTTCAGCATCGCCAGGGATTTAGCTCAGGAGTTCTGCCCCTGTCCTGGAAAGCGAAAGGTCCCGAGTTTGATCCCCAGTACCAAAAAACCCCCCAAAAACCAAAAAACAAAAAAAACCCCAAAAAACAACAACAAACAAAATTAAACCAAAAGTTCAGCGCCTTTTACAATTTTTAATTATCCTTACGTGGAGAAAGGTTTCAACAAATCCTTGATTTTCTCCTTGGCGCCAAAACCGAAGAAAATTCTCTGTGGAAAGCGGAATGAAGCAGTAGCGCCACCCAGTGGCCTTCGGTCGTTCCTGAAACTGCGTTAGGAGGGATGTCTCTTAAGCATAGGAGAGGAGCAGGATTTCTATGATGCTTTTCTTGAGGACTTTTTACGAGCGATGACAAATTGAAAGCATTTTCACACCCTGTAGCTGTCAGTGCCCTAGAGAAACTGTAGGCTAAGTGGTGCGTGGGAAGAATTTCTGTGTCAATTTACATGGTACTTTGCTGTGGAAATTTGCTCATCTCTACTCTGTCAATGACAACAATGCCCATCTTATAGAGAAGTTATGGGAATAAAATAGGATCATCTTCATGAAGTGCTTAGCTCAGCACCAAAACATTCAACCCTAAATGGATGTGGTTGGTACTAGTTAAGGGTATGAAAAGCATTATGGTCATGTTATCTGACCTCAGTGCAACCTAGTGACTTCAGGGCAGCTGGCTACATGTTTATTGTGTTCTAGGAGCGTCACGATGGTTCGTGCTAAGAGCTGGACCCTGAAGAAGCACTTTCAAGGCCATCCTACTCAGAGTGACTTTGAGCTGAAGACTGCTGAGCTCCCACCCTTAAAAAATGGAGGTAAATTGGACTCATAAGATTGCAGAGTTGGAAAAGACTATTGGTTACCCTTTGCAGCATAACAGGCTACTCCAAAGTTCAGTGACTTCAAATAGCAATTATTTATGAGTTTATAATCCTGAGGGTTGGCATTTTGAGCTTTGGTAAGGTGAATGATTCTTCATCTGGGCCAGATAGTTATTTTAGGACAGGCCTCACTCTCGTGTCTGGTGGTTAGCAGATTTTCTGCTGCAGTACAGGCCTCAGTTCTCTCTGAGGCTTCCTGGGAGGCTGGTTTGAGCTTTGTTCTCATAATGGTCTTGTGGATCTGCAGCAAGCAGAGTTGGAGACTCCAAAGTACAAGGCTTTTCAAGTTTCTACTTGTATCATGTTTGCTAATGTTCTATTGGTGAAAGCAAGTAACATTACCAAGCCCAGATTCCAGGGATGGGAAACCACATTTCCTTCTTTCATTTTGGTGAGAGGCTGGAGATTGAACCCAGTGCCTTATGCATGCTCAGCAAGTGCTGTATCATAGCACTACACTCTCAGCCCCTAGAAATAGATTTATTGATGGAAGGTGTAGCCAACAGCCAGCACACAGTTGTGGGAGGTATTTGTATCCATTTTGCAATCTTCCGCAGAGAACTTTTCAGGGTCCTCTGCATGAAGGTTCGATGTCTTCCTAGAAGTTCCCTTTGTTTTCTTTGACAACTGAAATTCCTGCTTGGATGGATCACTCTTTAAGGCTTTGACCAGACCTTGGGAGGATGTCCCCTCTGTCCTCCTAAGCCCAATCATACTAGTGGGGTAAGCGCCACCCAGTACAGTGGGGGTAAGTGCCGCCCATGTGCAGAGCTCAGATTCTAGGAGGTATCTGTGAGGAGTCTTACAGGTAGGTAAGCTTTTGAGAGAAAGGGATGGAATCAAGTAGCACGGTAAGGTTACCAATGTCATTTAAATTGAGATGGCCACTACTCAGATGCAAAATTCCAGAAAATGTGTGCATGAAGGTTACTCCAGTAAAATGCCTATTCTTCATACTAACTGAGGCTGGTAATGAAATCCAGTGTGAGCACTGTAACATAGGGCTTGCAGACTTTGCAGAATACTTAACCTAAGCTTAAATAAAATGGAAATACTAGTTAAGAACATCAATTTAAGTAATCCATATAAAGCATGGAATACTGAGTAAATATCATCATCATCATCATCATCATTATCATCATCATCATCATCATCATGATTATTAAATGGGCTGGGCCAAATGTGACAGCCCTTCTTATCTCTTCAATAGAAAGCACAGATGGTGGGCTGGGGGCATAGTTCAATTGTAGAGTACCTGCCCAGCATGCACAAGGCCCTGGGTTCCATCTCCATCTGTGCAAAAATAAAAATAATAGCACAAACATAGATAAGAGGAAAAGCCCAAAGTAGAAAGATATTATGTTTATTTATAAGGCCAAAACAACAACAAAACCATCAGGCTTGAGTTTTTAAATGCCTATGGATTGCTTTCTTTTCTAGAGGTCCTGCTTGAAGCTTTGTTTCTCTCCGTGGATCCTTATATGAGGTATTATTTTTCCTCCTAAAACTTCTTATGTTATGTGTTGGATACTATAGTGAAATGCCTTAGCTTGTCTTTTTTAAAGATTTTTATTTATACCAGTGTAGAATTTTATTTATTTCAGACCATCTGCAATGACCAGTGAGCATTGTAGCTCATCTTTTTATGATGAGGTATAATTTTCTCATTTTTCCTGGTTTGTATCAGTGATGGGATTCATAGATGCTCAGTTTCTACACGCAAAGGTCTGAGAAGCTTAGCAGGGGATTACCCTGGTTCATCTACTTTAGAAGAATCTCTAATCTGCTGTGCATAGTTTGCTTTTTATTGCTCACCAGAATTGTTTCCAGAAAAAAAGGAAAAGAAGAAGCTGGCCTCTAACTTGTCCATTTCATTACTGGAAAATTATTTGAGCAAATTATTTGCTAGAACTAAAAACAGCTATTCTTGCCTTCCACTGACCTGTATTTTTTTAATCTAGGTAATCAGTGGTTGACTCAAACTTATATACACAGTAAACAATCCAGGGAGGGAAGGGCACAAAATGTCTTTCTAGGCTATGAATGCCTCAGTAATTCTTTGCCAAAGTAAATAATATACCAATAGCTATCAATCTTTTACATATTTTTTCATAGTTGGTTGATAAATATTCCACTCTCAAATGAAAAGCACAGTTTAAAAATGTTAATTAGCATCCCTTTATGTGTGGCTTATATTTTGTGTAACAAAACCAGGTGCATATTTTTAAAGTCACTTATTGAAACTCATCTCTACTTGAACATGGTAGTAAGAATCTTAATTTCACTGATAAAAATACTACTAGGGTGCATCTTTGGAAATCACAGAACTGAAGTACTTCTAATACTGTATATGCTGCCCCTATGGGTTTTGTTTCTGTACATAGCATAGCATCCAGTGGTTTTCTGTTTCTCTGGAAATTAAAAAATGTTTTCCCCAGATGCTCTTTGCACTAAGAATCAATTTTTTTCTTTTTTTCTAGACTGGCAGCCAAAAGATTGAAGGAGGGTGAAATGATGATGGGGCACCAAGTGGCCAGGTAGTTGATTCCATGTGTCCCAATGCTTGGAAAATATGCCTCTTTCCTTCCTTCTGAGCTCTGTCTCTGTCCCTTGCTCCTACGATTACTTCAGCCTGCATGATTCACTCACTGTTTGATTCTGGGAGCAACTGAGGCAATCTTACTCTCTTCCTGATTAACTGGGAAGGAAGAAAGAATGTGAAATTGCCATCATGTCAGCCCCACTCTGCTTTTGGACTTTTCATCTGTTTTATTGATTTGTAAAAATTTCTTGTATGGCAGTATTGCAAATATTTGAGTCTGCTTTTCTTTCTCCACTGTCCAATCAAAGTTTAAAATTTTTATGGTATAAAATTAAAAATATTGGTAATCATGGCTTTTTGGTTTGATCTCATGCCTAGAAAAATGTTCTCCCCTAAAATATTTATTCGTGTTTTATTCTGTATTTTATAGTTAAATTATTTTCATTTAAATTTTTCAATCATTTAGTTTTTGTGTTGGAATAAGGAGTGAAGTATTTATGTCTAAATGACGAGTCAGTTGTTATAATACCATTTGTTGAAATCATTTTTGGATTTTTATTGGTATTTCAGTGATTTTGAATTTATTTTGAAGAAATTGACTTTTTTTTTTAAATGTATTAAATTGTTTTATTGGTACATTGTAGGTATACAACACAATTACATTTCTCATTGGGAATTGTACCTTTA